CGTCACGGGGGGCTCCATTCCCCAGGCCGTCCCCCCCCAGACGCCGGAGGACCACAGCAGCGTGTTCCAGAGCATGGTGGTGGTGAAGTCGCACCCGGCCTATCTCATGGCCTTTCTCCAGCACGTGGTTCTGCAGTTCGACTCCTGCCCCGTGGTGAGCGCAGGGGGGGGTCGGGGGGGAAGCTCTCGCACAGCGGCTGCGGGGGGGCGGGGGCGAACCCTCCCCAGGGGAGAGGGGCAGAGATGGTGGGGGCATCAGCTCCCTAGACCTGGTGGGATGTTTGAGGCCCCCCCCCCCGGCTGGAGGTCAAAGGTCACTGACCTCAGGCTGGGGGGTACCTGGCAGCGGGGAGGGGCAGCGGGGAGGCAGGCTGGGGGGTACCTGGCAGCGGGGAGGCAGGCTGGGGGGTACCTGGCAGCGGGGAGGGGCAGCGGGGGAGGCAGGCTGGGGGGTACCTGGCAGCGGGGGAGGGGCAGCGGGGAGGCAGGCTGAGACTTGGCCACCCCCTCGGCTCCCAGGTGCCCCCTGTTCTGACCCCCCCAATCCCTCCAGCTCTGCTACCTGCACGTGGAGCTGATCCGCAAGGCGAGCCCCAAGGAGGGCAAGAAACTCTTCCTGGATTTCTACCACACGTTCCTGGATAAGGCGGGGGTGAGAACCCCCCATGACCTCCCCACTCCCCAGAATGACCCCCCCCGTCCCTGTGGAATGAGCCCTACCCCCCCCACACTATTCCTTCTCCCAAGGGTGACCGAGCCATCCCAAGGAACCCGTCCCCCACCCAAGCCATCACCCCCCCATGACTTCATTGGGGCCCCCTATGGGGACATCAGACATACGACCCCCACACCCAGATCTCATTCACCATCCCCCCCAGCTGCAGTTCTCAGGCCCCGGGTCCCCTTGGTTCCCCCCCTGGGGAAATCGACCCTTTGTTCTAATCCCCCCCCCTCTCTCTCCAGCTCCTGCGTGTCCACATCCCAGCCCAGGTGCAGTTTGAACTGGGTGAGTGTCGCACTCGGAGCTTGGGGTGAATGGAGATAACCCGCCTCCCAGCCCCCCCCGATTCCCTCGGGCCAGATGGGGCAGTGGAGATCCTGAACCCCATTGCTTCCTCAGGGTCCCCTGCTGGGCTCACCAACCGCCCCTGTAGATGCAGCTGCCTCTGGGGTGGGACCCGGCAGCTGTTTACAGCAGCTTAGACCAGGGAACAAGGAGAATCCAGGAGATGGACTAGCAGGGTCTGCAGGTTGGGGGTGAGGGGCACCGGCGGAGCGGGGGGGGGGCAGGGCTGGGCTAGCAAGGTCTGCGGGTCGGGAGTGAGGGGCACCGGCAGAGCTGGGGGGGGGCAGGGCTGGGCTAGCAAGGTCTGCGGGTCGGGAGTGAGGGGCACCGGCAGAGCTGGGGGGGGGCAGGGCTGGGCTAGCAAGGTCTGCGGGTCG